TGTGGGGTTCATCCACCCCTCGTAGGGCTTGACCCCAGTGATTTTGAAACCACGAGGCCACTGGAGTGTTTGAAGTGCCCTCATGAATGCTCGGGGCCCTTCGGGATCATCACCATCGTGATCAGCGATATTGCCAGCATTAAGTGGCTGGAGAGCAGCATCCGGATTGCCGAATTCTTGCTTGTATTCCTAACGCCGGCGCACTTCTTCATGGCGAGAGAAACAACGCCCGTCGATATGACGTCGCGCGTCCCTAAGATTGTTGATGTGGCTCGAACATCTTGGTCGACTTCTTGGTCATGTTGGCGAGGGTAGTCGATGTGGTTCCCCTAGCTCCCCCCTAGAGGGGTTGTCCATCGTCACGATGTTGATCAGTGAAACGGCTTCAGCTGGGGCGGCGATTGGATCTTGGCTAGGCAGATCGGTGAATCAAGCTTGTCGAGTTGGAAGGTCTCTAATCCTGGTGGATCTCGTTGACCTGGCAGTGCGCTGCTTTAAGCATCGTGGTGACCTTGTCGACCTTTGGCGTTTGCTCGAGCCGAGCAAGCTCATTAGCGGCCACGGCCAAGTTGGTGCTTGGGGTCTTGTAGACATCGTGGTTGTCGACACGAATGAATTCATCGTCGAGGTTGCGGTGGAGTGGTCATGGCCTCCCTTGCGAGTCGAGCTGCTCTCTGTTGCGAGTAGCCTCGGCTAGCACAATAGTGGCCTCATTTGCTCGGCGCCGCATATGGTTGGCGTTTTTGTTGACATGAGCCACGTGGTCCTCGTTGGTTTCTCCATCCCGTGGAGGGCTGTCGACCCTGACATTAAAAATCCCGCCTCCTCGGAAGGGTGGGAAAGGAGGTTGGACGGCGGTGGTTTCGGCGATAGTCTCCATAGAGCCCTAGGACTTAAAGTCTAGATTTTCTTCTAGGATGGTGTGGAGGGACGCTTTGGGACATCGGCCGATCTGCAGCATATTGACAGTCGGCGAGAACTGCTCGGTGATCGGGTCGGTGAGAGGATGGATGTCTCCCACCTGGTCGGTGAATCTGTCCCTTAGGGCATCCTGATGGATGGCGGCCATAACCCTGAGAGTTTCATGATCGACTAAAAGCTCTAGTTTGGTTTTGGTGAATTGATGAAACCCTAAGTGCTAACCTAGTTTATCAAGTGATCATGATATAGGTAGCACAGTCCAAGTGGTGAAGCAAATGAAGATCATGACATGATGATGGTGATGCCATGGTGATTATCAAGTGCTTGGACTTGAAAAGAAGAAAGAGAAAAACAAAAGGCTCAAGGAAAAGGTATAAATGATAGGAGACATTTTGTTTTGGTGATCAAGACACTTAGTGAGTGTGATCATATTTAGGATCGATAGTCGTACTATTAAGAGGGGTAAAACTCGTATCAGAATGCGATTATCAAAGTGCCACTAGATGCTCTAACTCATTGCATGTGCATTTAGGATCTAGTGGAGTGCTAACACCCTTGAAAATGTTTGTGAAAATATGCTAACACACATGTGCACAAGGTGATACACTTGGTGGTTGGCACATTTGAGCAAGGGTTAGAAACTTCACCGGTGGAGTGTCTGCCCATAGAGTACGGACAGTTCGACGGTGCCACCGGCGCCCTAGATAGAAAAGACGAAAGTCACTGAAAATGACCGGACGCTGGCCTCAGTTGGACCGGCGCGTCCGGTCAGTAGCAGCAGTAAGCGCGCGGTCTTGGTCTTCGACCGAACGCTGGCGCTAAAAGTGATCGGACGCTGGCAGGGTGCGTCCGATCAGTGCTGACGTACGCTGACGTAGGGCACACAGAGGAGACATTGAGTGACCGAACGCTGGGTGAGTTCGGTCGGGCATGACCGGACACGTCCGGTCGTGAAAATTCGCATTTGGAACCTTACTGGAAACGATCGGACGCTGAGGTCCAGCGTCCGGTCACTTTCTAACTGACGTGTTCGGTCATCTCTTGACCATTGGGATCGGGCGATCAGCGTTTGAAGCCAATGACATGTGGCATGCATCGGGCGACCGGACGCTGAGGTCCAGCGTCCGGTCAATATGACCGGAGCGTCCGGTCACCCTGAGTTGTGCCCAGTGAAGGGGTACAACGGCTCTATTTCATGGGAGCTTCTATTTAAGCCCCATGGTCGGCTCAAGCTCGCTCTCTTGGCCATTTGCATTGACATAGCAACCTTATGAGCTTAGCCAAAGCCGTCCCACTCATCTTCATCATTGATTCATCATCTTTGTGAGATTGGGAGATAATCCAAGTGCATTGCTTGAGTGTTTGCATCTAGAGGCACTTGGTGTTCGTGTTTCGCTGCGGGATTCGCTTGTTACTTTTGGTGGTTGCCGCCACCTAGACGGTTTGGAGCAGCGAGGATCATTGAGCGGAGGGTGGTGATTGTCTCCGGCTTCGATCGTAGTGATTGTGAGGGGTTCTTGACCTTTCCCCGGCGAAGAGCCAAAAGGTACTCTAGTGGATTGCTCGTGGCTTGTGTGATCCTCATCTTGTGTTGGTTGTGCGGCACCCTATTGAGGGTTTGGCGTGTGATGCCAATTAGCGCGTGAACCTCCAAGTGAGTGAATCGCCACAATGAGGAGTAGCTTGCCGGCAAGCAAGTGAACCTCGGTAAAAAAAATCATTGTGTTCATCTTTTGATTCCAAGGTGATTGGTCTTCATTGGTATTTATTCTTGTGATTGATTGGCTCCTTCCTCGACACGGCGGTATAAACAAATTGCTTACTCTCTTTACATTACCGCAAACTAGTTGTCAAGCTCTTTAGTGTAGCTAGTTGTGAGAGCTTGTTAGTTTGGTTGGTGTGGCTCTTTAGTTAGCCTTTGAGAGCACACTAACTTAGTGTAGTGACATAGCTATTGTGTGGATAGAAACTATACACACTAGAATTGTGGTAGGTGGCTTGCAATTTAAGTAGACTAGCGCAACACTTGCTTCGCCTCATAATTGTCTAACAGGTTTGTTAAGTGTTGTTATAGAAATTTTTATTAGGCTATTCACCTCCCTCCTCTAGCCATTAGGACCTTTCATCGGCCTCCGATAGATCGGAATCGGAGGGTGGTCGACGCAAACTAGAGTGGTCAGAGCCGATTCCACGATTGAGAGGCAGTTGGCGAGCTTCTGGCCAACTTGATCGATGGATACGATCAGATCGTCATTGTTGATCTGTTTCCTCGGGTAGCGGGGGAGCACGCGGCGAATTCTTGATGAAGACGACCTCGAAGGCGGTTCCGAGATCAGATCTACAGTTGCAGGTACTGGTGTGGTCGGTGCAGAATCGATCTGCACCGGCTCGATGATCTCTCCGTCTCCATCAGCATTGATGACCCAGGAGATCTATCCGACCGTAAAGATCTGGTCGGGCTGTGGGAAGGACGAAGAGCCTGCAAAACGTACCATCTTGTTCGTCACGGAAACAGCACGCACACCCCTACCTGGCGCACCAACTGTCGACATAATATCGTCGGCAGTCCTCCGAGGGGTATCCTATGAAGGTAGATTGATCGGTAGAGATATGTGTAATTAAGAATAAGAAGGCAACAGAGACATAAGAGTTAGACAGGTTCGGGCCATCAGCACGACGTAATACCCTACTTCTGTGGTCTGTTGGATTGTATTGGCTATCGTATGATATTGCGTGTGTTTTGAGGGGGTCCCCTACCCGCCTTATATAGCTGGGGATAGGGTTACAAGACGGTTAGATTTAGGAGATAATCAGAAAGAAATAACAGATTATAGGAATCATGGGATCGAACGTATCCTAACAGATCTCGTAGTATATTCAGGATATCGCCCTTGATGTCTTGCGGTGCACGCCGAGCAGTGCCGTGCACCGTAGGTCTTCGTCTTGTGGGATGGACCGCCCCTGGAAGCGCGGCCCATGTAGTCTGCCGTGGGTATCCGGGGTCGTACCCCCATACATATGTATGTTCGTAAACTTCGCAACAATTGTGCAAATGCTCCACGCTTCAAAGATTGGTTTCATCACAGCCTCAACCTATAGTGCTTTTCTCAGAAATCTTGCAGAAGGAAAAGAGCAAATGGCAGATCTAAATCAGCAACTGCTACCAGAGGGGGGGGGGGATGTCTGATTGTTGCAACCAAGCAAAAACGTTCATCTAGACTATAGTTTCCTGGCCAAAAAGTTTTAACAGTTGCTGATATGATATACGGGCCCATTTGGTAGGGATCCAGATTCTTGTAGAAACATTTCAGATCCAGATTCTCTTCAGAAACGTTTCTCTGTTGAAATAGGAATCACTTGGTAAGAATCGGTGAAACGTTTAGCTATTGATCTAGATTCTCCTTGAAATGAACTAGAATCACCGCGAAACACCTATTTTGGTGATTTTCATTCCTATTACAAAAATGAGAAATGTTTCTCTAAGAATCCGAAACGGTTCTGTCACCGTGTTTGGCAGCGATTCTGGTGATCCTACTGAGAATCCGAAATGTTTCTGTCATCGAAACGGGGCCCTAATAATCTGCAAGTCTGCATGCATGCAGTCCTGCATCAGAGGAACTGAATTTCAACAGTTGGTTAATTTGGCTGCCTCATGTCATGTTCATCGATCAGGATGGAGATCATAGACATCAAGACCCTGCAAGGGCTGGCGAGTGGCGAAGATCGCAGGGATCATTGGTGTCGTTTGCCGGGGTGACCACCATCAGCCTGTACAGAGGAGCGGCCGTGAAGAGGCTTTGGAGGGCTCCCGTTCACATACACGCCACGGCACCGGTGGCGGCGTTGCGGTGGCACATGAGAGCCGGGTGAAAAGATCACTCCTTGCGTTGGCATTTGGCAAGCTGCATATGCTGGTCAATCCGCTGCATCTTGCAGGTCCCTGGCCTACCTCTTCATTCCAGTCCAGCTACTGGTACAACAATAAGCAACAAGTAATACAACAGTAACCACCCTCTGCCCCCAAATTATAGGTGTCGTCTATAAAGAGGTACCCAGCCAAGCAAGCTATCGCTGACGGCATGGATGTCGATGGTTGGAAAAGGTCCAGGTGAGGAGAACTTGAATTTGTAACCAAGCCCAGCAAGCTGAAGCAAAAGGGCAATGAAAGAGGAGGTGCGCCAAGGATTCTTCCAAAAGGCTGTTACAGAGGACACAATTAGTCTTGCAGTTCCATGTTTTTCCTCTTGAGCAACTCTCTTGTGCTTAATCTATCTTTCAGGATGAGCCAGCAGAAGATTTTATGCTTGTTTTGACAGGAACCTATTCCAAATCCATTTGAACCCTGGATGAACTGCTCCTTGAGCACTGAGGTGTTTGTATGCCTTTGCAACCGAAAACTTACTTGAACTCTCCAAAAGAATAATTTAACCTTCAATCCTGTTGACACTCCAAAAGAATGTAATAAGGCTTTCAGGGTGATCAATTGTTTACTGCAAGCTTCCATGATAATCAGTGGCTTCACGTTAGTTGTTAAATCTCAGCTCGTTAGTTGTTGCTAATACCTGCAGTGTAGTTGGAGGGGTGCTTGTGATTCCGGGGCTTCACGTATTGCTTTGGGGCAAGGACGACAAAGACCAAGAACAACACATAGCGGATGGCAAAGAGCACGAGTCTGATGAGCTGGACTGCGAGAAGCAGGCGGCCGTAATATAAGCGACCATTTTGCAGCACGGAACGACAAGGCACCAGAAACGGCAACGATAAAATCGAATAAAGAACAATATCTGCTTGTTGTATCAAGTCCAGACTTCAAGCACTCAAGACGTGAATAAAGAAAAGTGTGACATTCTTGTTTGTCAGCCATCTAATTAAAATTAAACTGTTAATTTGCCCCTAGAGATTCATAGGCAATTTTACCATCCAAACTGTTTGGTGCAGATTTTCATGAACTTGCCTACGTCTTGGTAAAAGAAACGGACCTACTAGCGTCCAGGCGTCCGGAGCACATGAGCGCGTTTGGACACCCTGCGCATGCTGATGTCCTAGCCCGCCCGCCCACACCTGCCGCTGCGCCGTATCGCTGCTACACACGCACGTCCGTCCCCCGTCTACCTCGCCCCGCTCCCGTCCACTTCGCCCCCTCCCGCACGCACACGCCAGCTGTGCCCGCCACTCCTTCCCCTGACCCCCTCCTCTCTCCACGCGGGCAGGAACCGGGCAGGAACCGAGAGCCTGGATGAGTATGAGCACGCCCCGTCCGCAGAACCCTAGGCACGCCAGTCGCCCCCATCTGCTAGCCCCCAGCTCGCCAGCCTTTTCCCTCAAAGTGTTCGACCGTGTTCCCATGACTTTGAACATACCTCTGAAACATGAAACACTTGCAACATGAAACACTTGAATGTAACATAAGTCTGAAGCAGGTGAAACATTTGGAACATATACTTGCAACATATGTGTGACACATATGCAACATCCAGATAAAACACTTGCAACATGAAAATACTTACTGCAACATAAGAATAAAACAGCTAAAATATTTGGAACATACTCTTGCAACATATGCGTCAAACGTATGCAACATCCAGACCAAAATGCTTGCAACATACGTCTGAAACAGATAAAACACTTTGAACAAACGCTTGCAACATGCCTATGAAACACTTGCAACATATGCAACATCCTGATCTACTTTTGCAACATCCATATGAAACATTTCCAACATTACTCTGAAATATTTGAAACATACGTTTGCAACATGCGCTTTCAACACATCTCCTTGCTGCCTGGGAATTGATTCTCGTCGGTACATGGAGTTCACAGATGTAGAGCTCGCTCGGTGGCGTGGAGCTCGCTGCTCCGGTGGAGAAGGCCACGGTTGGTCCCATGAAGAAGGTTGCGACGGGTCCGTGCACTGGAGAAGCCCGCGACAAGCGGGAGGCGCGGTGGAGAGGAAGACAGGCTGTCGTGCTCCAGCACAGAAGAGATGTCAACCGGAGGCGCTATGGAGGGAGGCGTGGTGGAGAGGGAAGCAGCGCCGTCACCGAGGCGGCGTTGCGGTGAGGTGAGTTTTTTCTTCTTTTTTTTAGAAAACGGTTGGCTGAGCACATAAGATGTGGTTGTTGGGCTGCGTCATGACCCACCATTGGCACCGTCCGGGCAGATGGACGCCCTATACCAGCATTGCCGTAAAAGAAATGATTGGTCCATAGCAAACTAGGGCAGAGAATCCATATGCAATGTGATTGTCAAATACCCAAATTCTTCTTCAGATTGAAGCTTACCAAAAAATCTTGATTAGCATAAAGTCCATTCTCAAACAAGCGATTCCAAAGGTCTATGTTTTTTGGATTCAAAATTTTGAATTAAATAGGAGAATATGAATGGTAAAAGGTAGAGTCCAAGTTTAGCATCAACATTAAATAAATCGAACGATTTAAGAAAAATATAATCGGCACTACCCTGGCTACATTTTTTTTTCTAAAACGAGGAATTTAGAAACTAGAATGAAGTATTCACTGAAGACCAACTGAATTATTTGCAACAGAATGTTTAGAAAGTATACTTTGTGTCAAAGGCTGAACCATATGAACTAGTAATACTGATCAATACCACATGTTCCTTCACACTTGGCCAACCATACTTTGCTTCTTGTGCCAAAGGACAACATCTTTGTAGGGCAAATCTCCTCCAAATATATCTAGAGCACTCCCAACAGTTACATCTACTCGACTTTTGCCTGCTTTCTTTATCCTCTCTAGGTCATCCATTGTTGACACCCCCCCAGCATAAGTTACGACTTGACCGAGACCTGTAGAAAGACAAAAGAGAATTTTAAATTATGACCACAGTCAAGTTAGTTTATTGCTTTTGAAATAATAATCACCATCACAAAATATTTGCTATAAAAAAGAATACAGGGGTATTCTTTGCTTCCTATTTTGTTATAGTTTGCTGACAGCATAGCATATAAGTTGTAAAATTAGTGAAGACTACAGTATGCAGTAAACAGGAAAAAAAATATAAAACTAATGAAAGGAAGATCCAGAAAAGAAAACTGGAAGTCCAAATTTGAAGTTTGTACGCACTGGTGAATGATGCCCGAATAGTTCCACAAGCTCCTCATCAATCCCTAACCTGTAATTCACATCCTAGCTTAAAATAGAATCAGGGTAACTGGACAATAGCAAATTTCACACTGCAAGAGCAGGATTACCAACAAGATTTCAGAAGATAAGAAATCAAGTTTCGTTGAGTTAGTACTTAACATGGATGAATATGGAAATTAATTAGATAATACAAAGTGATAATCAATCCAAACAGAGAATTAGATCAAACTCCACATTAAACTCTAAACAAAGAGCTAGGTTTTAGATCCCCTTGTACTATTACAATTATTAATGCCTTTTATTTTATTTATACTTCCGTCTGATGGTAGTTTACGTACCCAACTTGTTTGGGATAAAAAGCTTTTTTTGTTATTGTTGATACTCACAGAAAAGAGAGCACATGTAGTATGATTTTTATTTGGGAGCAGCAGATTAATTTCAATGGTAGGACAAAATATATATCTATATAAAAAAGTTCAAAAAAGAAAGAATTTCAGAACTTCAAATCGGTATTATAAAAGTTGGTCCATATATATGTCAGAATAATAGGATATGACAACTTGCAAAGCAATTTTGTCCCATATGGTCATGTCAATGTTGCAATATGAATTTCTATCAATAAAAGAAAGACTTGATAACAAGGAACATAGTTGCACCTTTTGCCCTCCACATCAACACCATGAACCAAAAACTCATCTGCAAAGGCAGCGAGATATTCTAATGTCGGTTTATCCACAAACACATCACTGAACTTTTGCCACCTGTCAGTTACAATGGTATATCTGCCATCCTAACCAGGAGCAATATGGTTAGAAGATGATCAAAGATTGGAAGAGTAGAAAATAAGATGAAAAAAGTGTCTGTAAAAGGAATATGCTTGCTTTCTTTCTCTGATTACGTAAAGAATATGCAATGAAGAGTAGCATTTGTGACCAAAAAAGAGTGCACACATAAGAATGCATCTACCACAGTTCAAATAAAAATAGTTGAAATGATTACTTCACTCAAGCTATTTCATTGCATTTCCCATATATTATTAGCATATTCAGTGAATCACAACCCCACACTGTTCACTTGTTTTCACAGATGCAAAAGAACCACAACATGAATCTAGCATCACAAAATGAATATTAACATAATTGCCCTATGTACTTGGTACCTTTTTTCGACAGCTAAGGTCCAGCACAAGCCTCTGTTTCCCAACCAGCTCAACAAGTTTTCTCAGCCTTTCAATGTTCATCTTGCCATCGTTAAACACATACTACATATAAAAGACTTGAATACATGAGTTACAGATACTCAAATAATATACAAGGCAACTTGCAGTAAAAGCATGTTTGTGCAAAGAATAATATCCAACAATGATAACTATCAAACAAAGCAACAGTGTAATAAGGGGAAAAAAGCTTTCATCTCCACATTAGAACAAGCTAGCTTAGGACTGTCATCAAAGGTTGCTTCAAACAAAGCAACAAGTGCAATAAGGGGAAAAAAGCTTTCACCTCCACGTTAGAACAAGCTAGCTTAGGACTGTCATCGAAGGTTTCTTAAGCAGAAGATACAGGTGTTATTAGCAGAGAATCATCAATACTAGCAGTTGAAAAGTGATAAAATCATCTACTTGCGCCAAAGTTCTAAGTGGCATCCAGAGATGAGACGAGACTTACAGCGAGGATGGGCAACTAAGGGTATTGACCAAGCCATGGTAAGAATATTGACAAGCCCAATGTGGAATAGGGGCTGTCCAAGAATGGTGATAAAGTATTCCTCAACGGCAGCAATGCAACTACAAACTTGCATGTCCATCGAGATGAAATCGAGGCAGCCAAGATGCAAATCACATTGGCATGAAGGAATAAACAAAATGGGGTGGTAGAAACTTGGACAAGAGAGTAATAAGGAAGATGTGATGCATCAATGACTGGAGATAGGATTTCTATAAACCTTGTTCTGACAAGAGATGCAGGCTTTTGAGGAAACAGTGGTATCTTTAGACCAACGAAAGCAAATAGAAATACAAATATAATGGAGATAGGCCCAAATTATATCTTCATACAGAAGTACAGACTAGCCAAAAACATTTACACAATATGTCACATGATGAAGGGGAAAAAAAGAATAGCAAAGTTTACACAGATTTAGAGCATGGGCACGTACAGAGGTCACTATCACATGACTGGCCCCTTCATTAAGGTAAGACATTGCATTCTCCAAATTTATTCCACCTCCAACTTGCAAGCCACCTAGTATGATAGCCCATGTTCATTGCAGTTTGTCATTGATGGCATCTCATGGCTTACAGCAGAAACAAACCATACTAACAGAAGAATCACTAGAAGATGTAAAAAGTCTCCATCACAAGAAGGCTGTTGGCTATGACCATAGAGAACTAAAAGAGCACAGGACTGAGCTAATACTTTACCCTGTAATCTCACAGAAATTAGGGTTTCAACGAAGATAAGTGTAACTGAAGTACATTGAGTATCACCTAATACTAGTAGACAAAAGCCGTCTACAGGGTGGGAGGCTAATATGTTGATGTGTTAATCATCACCAGCCTAGCTTTATATCTACTTTTTGTAGTGGAGGCCTATCAGAAAGGAAATTAACACAATGAACTTAATTGTTGTACAACAAATGCCACCTTTCTGTTCAGTAAATTTCATGATCCCATACAAAGGTCGTATATTTGACAAAATAAGCTCAACTGGTACATAATACAGTTTCTTGGATACCATAAACCGGTATGCATATGCAGAATCATCTTGTATCTAACTCTAACAAAACAAAAACCAGAGTCACCATAATTATTTACGATATACATGTGCTCCACAATTGAAAGACTATATACTTAAATTATTTCGTTGAATACAGATGATGAAAATGAAATAAATAATAATTTTTATCCATCAGCAGCAGCATTTGATCATGTATGACCATGGCTACAAGAAATTATGATTAAAAGGGACAAGTAATGCAGCTTCTGGTGCTTTGTTAAGAGCAAATTTACTTCCAAGTTTGAACAGGAATACAGGATAATAAATCATTTCTATAGGTCCCAAAATTCTACCTGATATTTCGATCTGCTAGTTTTTAAAATAAATACTTTGATTTTTTATGCATTTTAGCATATGCAACATCCAGAGCACCCGATAAGAGACAAGGGGCAAACAATAGGTGTTACTACAAATAAGACTAATAAGAGCAAACAGCCAAACGCAAGAGGCTAACCCAATGTTATGGGGCAAAGTCGGCGTGGAGGGAGACTAGAGTATTTGGGGGGAATTGAATTGTTTGTTCTTTCTTCATTGCTTTCTCCTTGATACATAACCTCCCTTTTATATAGAGAGGACTCCTGGCCACCTAAGGAAGGCCCAATCAAATCATAACAAATCATATCCAATCCTATCTCTAATTGACCCAAATCTAATCCTATCTCTAACTTGCGTCGCCGGAGGAGCTGCTGGATGACGAGATCTGGAGTCACGTCGGTCGAGTGCTGCAGCTGAGGCCCAGAGAGACGGTCATAGGAAAACCCATACCATTCAATACCTCGATCGTGCCCACACTAGTATGCTCCCTTATTTTGTTCGTGCTTTTTCTCTGCTTTTTTCTATTTCTTTGATTTCGGTTCATTCGTTCCATAGGGGCTTAGGAGGTACAAGTCCCGGCCGCACCTTCCTAAGGGATCGGAGGGCCGAGCCCAGTAGGCCACCCAGAAGGAGGCGACAGATGCCCAGAAGAAGAAAAGAACCAAGAAGGTTCAGCGGAAGGAAGGGAAGAAGGAGGAGGTCGCCCAGCGCGTGAGGGCCGGGGAACGTAGGAGCGACGTCGAGTCAGAACTTGCGTCGGACGGTCCTATGGATGTGGATGACATGGTCTTCTCCGATGAGGAGGAGAATCAAGAGGTCGTTGTGACCTCGGCGGAGCATCATGGCCCTACGACGACGTCCGCTGGTGATGAACAGGAGGCCGCACGGCGTGCGGCGGTTCCCGCGTTGAGGAAGCACGCAGCGAGCGCGAATGTTGTCAGTGAGCGAGCGACGAAGCGGACGCAGTCACCGCGCCCCTCAACAACATCGCTGGTTCCGTCCCTGCCTATTGTGGATGTGGCGGAACAAGGCGGGCGGTCCGAGGAGCGGACTGGCACCCGTTCGTCGTTGGGGTCAGTGACGGCACGCGACTTGCAGCCAGGGATGGCCCTGCCCACCACGGACGCAGTCAAGCAAGCCGGTCAGTCCAAGGAGTAGACTGGTGCCCGTGCGCCGCGTGATTTGCAGTCGGCGAACGCTCCGCCTGTTGCTCCGGTCGGGGAGTCCTGAGTCGGGGGTCGTGGCGACCCGCAGGTTGGGCAGAAGCCGGTAGGAACGACTTCGCCCCCGGCTAAGGTAAGGGAGCACGGGTCGCAGTCTGGGAGCGGTCCTCGCCGTACAGGCCCATCAACGTCGGGATCTGCCTTCAGGGTTGTGCCGCTCACCTCCCAGTACGTCTTTTTCTGTTTCCTTTTGGTCTTTTGCTGGCTGAGTTTTTGTTGGAGTGTGACTTACCCGTACCTTCTACCAGCGGCCTAGGAATGCCGAGGCTGAGCATCGCCCCAACTCTAGTGCAGGAGACTTGGAAGCCCATCCTGCAGCGTGTTGCAGTGAGCGAGGGGGCAGCAGGGTGGCAGCGGCAATGCCTTCCCTCCCGGGGGTGGTGCCCCCTAGGTCGGCTATTGATATGGCAGCAGCGGCGGCATCGGTGTTGGCGGCGATCCCGGCGCCGACGGCGGGGGTCGCGTTGGAGGTAACTCTTGTGGTCCCTCCTCCATTGGTCGCGGTGGAAGAGACGAGGGAGGGCGAGCTCCCTATCTCGCTGGGTGGAGGGTCGCATGGCACGTTCTTGCGATCGGAGCTGAAGGCGTCGGTGGGAAGTGTGGCCGGGACGGAGTCAGGACACCCGGCGGCGGTCGGCGCAATCGATGTGGTGGATATCATGTCTGACGATGAGGCAAAAGTCGTGGCGGACCCACCGGCGTCATCGCGGGAGCTGGTGGTGGTTCAGCCGGAGGCTGGGTCCTCCGACGGGCCTCCGGAGGGTGACCTAGAGTGGCTCTACCCTGAGGACCCAGCGAAGGCACGGTTTGTCCTCTGGGATTCCCAGGAGTGTCAGCTCTAGGATATCTTTGGGGGGCAAGGGCATGCCACGGTGTCCGAACTCACCAAGCTATCCACGAAGCTTGAGAGCGCCCAGAAGCAGGCTTAGTTCGCTCGGCAGTTGGTTGAGGTCGACCTGCGGCTCACCGCGGAGGTGAGTTTCTGGTACTATGTCCTTGCCCTTTGAATCTTTCGTCGGTTATTTTTAGCATGCTTGTTTTTCACAGGAAATAAGGAAGATGTCGTCCCGCAAGTCTTACTTTCTCTGGACGAAACATGCCCGGATGGCCGAGCTTGAGCGTCGGGTGGAGTTCGCTTGCCGTGAGTCCCAGGTCCGGGCGGCCGAGGCGGCCGCGGCGCCGGCGGAGGGGCAGCGTGCGGCGGGGCAGGCAACTGCTGCCTAGCAAGGGCTCGAGGCGGTGAAGGTCCGCCAGGAGGAGACCGACATAGGGTTGCGGGCATCCCTGGCGAACACCGAGGCGGCACTTCAAGAGGCCTTGGCGGCCCTTGAGCCAGAGCGGGCCGCCCTAGAGTCGGCATAGAAGGCCCTAGAGCCGGAGCAGAGGGCCCGGTCAGAGGTGGATCAGGAGGTGCTCGTGCTCCGGGGCTAGGTGATGGGGACGGAGGACACGAGTGCCTGGCTGCGCGAGGAGATGGCTCGGCAGGCAGAGGATCTCTCCACCCTTGAGGCCTCTCGCATTGGTGCATACCTTTTTTGTTTTCTCGTGGTGTTGATTTTTCCCTCAGCCTGTTTCTGAGCTTGTCGCCCTTCTTCCAGAGCTGGGTGAAAAGGTGAAGGCGCTGGAGCGAGACCTGGAGACGACCAAGGCGAGCTTCAGCCCGAATGTCGAGGAGCTGGCCAAGTCCCATGAAGAGCAACATGCTCTCGAAGGGGATCTTGACTAGATCTGCAACATTGCCCGGCTCGTCGTCTCGGAAGTCTTCGGGTAAGTGCCAAGTACCAGTGCGCCCGCGGTCCAGCTGGTGGAGGTTCCAGATGCGGTCCAGGACCTTGTCAGGAGCGAGCTGTTCTACGGAGCGTCGGGGGTGCTGACCTCGGTGGTGATGCACCACCCGAACCTAGACTTCGTCGCTATCTGCAGTG